ATACTTCTGTTAGATTCAAATAGACTACACAGGACCCTTACCACCAGATAGAAAGGAAAACCAGTTTATGCTGGTGGTGGTAGATGCCTTCAGCAGGTAGGTGGAGGCATTCCCCACAAGGCATCAGACTGCCCAGATGTGATGTTCCCCTCTGGTATTATTTGGACCAGTGATCTGCTAGGTCACTCCAATCCTAGACTCTGGAAGCCAGCCTGACCCTGCTCTGCTGTGAGAACCCCCACTCCTGGGCTGTTCACGCACAGCCTCTGGCATGTAAGCTGCTCCTTGGATTGTGCAACTGAATGACACTAGCCAATATCTCAGGTCCCAGAAACAACCCTAGGAACCTCCGTCTTGCAGTGTCCTGTTATGCCCGCTGGACGCTGCAAGCTTATATAAGTTCTTCAATTTAACAAAGAAATTCATAGAATCATAGAATCATAGAATATCAGGGTTGGAAGGGACCTCAGGAGGTCATCTAGTCCAACCCCCTGCTCAAAGCAGAACCAATCACCAACTAAATCATCCCAGCCAGGGCTTTGTCAAGCCGGGCCTTAAAAACCTCCAAGGAAGGAGATTCCACCACCTCCCTAGGTAACCCATTCCAGTGCTTCACCACCCTCCTAGTGAAATAGTGTTTCCTAATATCCAACCTAGACCTCCCCCACTGCAACTTGAGACCATTGCTCCTTGTTCTGTCATCTGCCACCACTGAGAACAGCCAAGCTCCATCCTCTTTGGAACCCCCCTTTCAGGTAGTTGAAAGCAGCTATCAAATCCCCCCTCATTCTTCTCTTCTGCAGACTAAACAATCCCAGTTCCCTCAGCCTCTCCTCATAAGTCATGTGCTCCAGCCCCCTAATTATTTTTGTTGCCCTCTGCTGGACTCTCTCCAATATTTCCACATCCTTCTTGTAGTGTGGGGCCCAAAACTGGACACAGTATTCCAGATGAGGCCTCATCAATGTCGAATAAAGGGGAATGATCACGTTCCTCGATCTGCTGGCAATGCCCCTACTTATACAGCCCAAAATGCCATTAGCCTTCTTGGCAACAAGAGCACACTGCTGACTCATATCCAGCTTCTAGTCCACTGTGATCCCTAGGTCCTTTTCTGCAGAACTGCTGCCCAGCCATTCGGTCCCTAGTCTGTAGCAGTGCATGGGATTCTTCCGTCCTAAGTGCAGGACTCTGCTCTTGTCCTTGTTGAACCTCATCAGGGTTTTTTTGGCCCAATCTTCTAATTTGTCTAGGTCCCTCTGTATCTGATCCCTACCCTCCAGCGTATCTACCACTCCTCCCAGTTTAGTGTCATCTGCAAACTTGCTGAGAGTGCAGTCCACACCATCCTCCAGATAATTAATAAAGATATTAAACAAAACTGGCCCCAGGACCGACCCTTGGGGCACTCCGCTTGAAACCGGCTGCCAACTAGACATGGAGCCATTGATCACTATGATCAATTGATATGAACCAGGCTTATTATCCCAAGGGGAGCCCCTGACACACTTCAAACCAAATGCACTGCTTCAGGTAGAATAAACAAACAGATTTATTAGCTACAAAAATAGATTTTTAAGTGATTATAAGTCAAAGCACAAGAAGTCAGATTTGGACAAATGAAATAAAAGCAAAATGCATTCTAAGCTGATCTGAACACTTTCAATATCCTTAAAAACTTAGATGCTTCTCACCACAGGCTGGCTGGTTACTTTTCAGCCAGGCTCTCACCTTTGATCAGCGCTTCAGTTGGTTGGTGGTGATGTCTGTAGATGGAGGTGGAAGAGAGAGAGCGCATGGCAAATGTCTCTCCCTTTTATCATGTCCTTTCTTCCCTCTTGGCTTTGCCCCCCCCTCCCCCAGAGTCAGGTGAGCATTACCTCATCGTAGTCCCAAACTGCCCAAAGGAAGGGGGGTGACTTCCTCAAGGGTCTAACAGATTCTTTTGTTGCTGCCTAGGCCAGTATCCTTTGTTCCTGGGAGGCTGGGCTGGGTTTGTCCCATACATGACCTGACGAGGTGTGAACTGCCCCTTTGCTCTTGCTTTAAGCCATGAGGATACATTTTCAGCCTCATAACTATGTACATGAAATTATAACCTATAACCTCACTATAACAACCATGCTCAGTGCATCATGAGCCTTCCGAAGACACCCGACATGACAAACTTTGCATTGGATACACACAATCATTTTATGAAGATGAACATGGGGGTGCTGGGTGTTCCCTCAAGGTACAGAGCGTCATACCGGGTGACTGCTGAAAAGCTGGTAAATGAGGTATTCGCTCGCTGCGGGTTCCCAAAGATGATTGACTCCAACCAAGGGGTTGCCTTTTGGTCAGACTTGATGGGGGAGCTCACAGCACTCACTGGGATAACACAATTGTTCCGTATCACCTATCAAATGCAGTCTGTGGGGCAGGTGAAACACATGAACCGCACTAGCAAAAGTGAACTGAAAAAGGGAGTAGAAATGGGAGGGAGAAACTGGCCACAACTATTGCCCTTTGTCTTACTGAGGCTAAGGGCCCAGGAATCAAAGGGAACAGGGCTCTCCCCCATGAAGCTCTTACGGGAAGACCCATGGAGTGGGGGGAGAATTTACTCACTCCAATACTGGGGCAAGTCTCCACACATGGCCTAACACAGGAGAGGGGCTTAACGCTAATTGATCACATATGGCAGATACCACAGGTGGTGGCCTGGCAAGATGAACAGGGAGCAGCAAAGATCAAAGCGTGGTATGACCTGCCTGGAGAGCACGATCTACCCATGGTGGGAGATCACGTGATGCACCAAATTCCAAGACATCATCATCCATTCCCAGCTCCTAAATGGAGGGGCCCAGCCTGCTGCTATTGGTGAGAATGGGCTCATTGCAGTCAGTTAAAAAGGTACAAAATGGGAGTTAAAAAGGAGGATATATCAATTCTATTGCATGCATCTTACAGGTGAACTTGCAACAGAAAATCAAGGACTCCCCAACCTGACATGGAACACTTGTTGCTACTAATAACAATTGTTGCTGTTGTAAATCCTAACCAGATCCCATGATGTGAAGTGGCAAAAGGAGGAAACACGTGGAATGCGCTACACAGCCATGTTGTGGTAATGAGGCAGAGGAGGGCTTTAAGGATTTACCCACAGAAAATTGTACCACTAATCCCCCCATAGGAATTTGGCAGCGTCGGTATGTGGTGTATGGGTTGGAAGAGGGGGTCCCGACCCGGTGGAGAATATCAAATTTATCAGGAAATATTGCATGGTATTCCTTAGGATATGTCATGATCAATGACAGTGAGAAACACAGTCATCCAGACATGTGGTTTGCCACAGAGGGCCCAAAAAACATATCCCTATGGTCTCCCGGAGTGTATGAACCATCTCTGGGGCATGGGGTCCCACAATTGGGGTGTGATGTTACCATGTTAATCATAATGGTACCTCCTCAGAGGAAAATCCCTGGACATGCAGTTGTTATATACACATCTCATTGGGCATAAAGGCTCCCCTGGGACGCTGGGTATATGACAATTTAACTGCTTTGCAGACTGTAACCCTACAGGTATATGGATGCCAAGCTGGAAGAATTCGGATCTAAACTGGCCACAACCTGGAGCCGGGAATACCCCCCAACAGGCAAACATGTGGGAGCCACTGTGGGAGCAGGTGCAACCAACACTTTTCAACGTGTGTTTCCAGTCCATAACATGGGTGGTACACCCCAGAGAATGGTGGGTGGACCAAGTGCACCCCTAACTGCAGTACATACATAGAAGGGCTAAAGCAGTCATTCTCAAACTTTTTGTATTGGTGACCCCTTTCGAACACCAAGCCTCTGAGTGCAACCCCCCTTAGAAATTAAAAACACATTTTTGATATTTAACACTATGTTAAATACTAAATTTAAACTGTATTGCTTAAAATGAATTTACCTTTTCTCACTGCTTTTAAATTAAGACTAAAACACATTTTTATCGAATTAAATATAAGTGGAAAAGTTATTTTTAAGTAGAATTTTATTTTAATACTGGACAGCAATTAATGACCTGAAGCAGCCAAAAATCAGTGAGATGGATGATGCTGTTTATTTGACACAAGAAGTTTTATTCTTGGTGTTGTTTTAGAAAGGGAGCATCTGATGTCGTCCTTCACATCAAGCCGGTTTTGAGATTTCGTCTTTATTGTGAGAAGGCTGGAGAATCATTTGTAGGTAGTGGGAAGTGGCAGAAGGACTCTCAGGGCCATTTCAGACACCAGTGCTTATTCACTTGCAACTGAGCACCAGGACTGGTTTGGAGGCAGCTGTGTGAATTTTGCTTTCACTTCATCACTGATCATGTCGACAAACTGTTCCTGTGTGTGAATATCGTCAGGAGGTAACTGCTCAGCTGACACTGAAAGGGGAATGAAGTGCTTCAGGTAGCACTGGGAAGTAGTGTGAGAACTCTTCATGAAGGGCTCTCGAATGTTCACTGATCGGTGACTTGAGAGCACGATCAATGTTAACTTCCTCCTCCTCGCTGAACGAGGAAAGTGTCGGAAACGTGCCGTATCTGTCTGTGTCCAGCTTCCTGCACCGCAGATCCAACCTCATCTGCAAGGCTTTGATTTTATTAGTCACGTCTATTCATGTTGAACGTTTTCCCTGAAGTGACAGATTATTAAGGCTACCAAAGATATCAACTAGGTATGCCAAGCAGAGAAGCCATTTCTTGTCACTGAACATTTTGTTCAGCTCTTGTTTCTGTTTTCGCAGGAAAATCTCTGCCATCTCGTCACGAAGTATAAAAACGCGCTTTAATGTGCATCCCTTAGAAAGCCATCGGACTTGAGTGTGGAAAAGCAGAACTTCATATTCACCACCCATTTCATTGCAGAGCTCTCAACAGAGACGACTATTCAGAGCATGAGCTTTAATGTAGTTCACTGCTCATATAACAACATCCACCACAGCATTAAGGCATATTGGCAATGTCTTTGCAGCTAGGACTTGACGATGGATTCCACAATGAGTGACAATCACATTAGGTGAGACACACTTTACTTTCTGCTGAAAGCCAGACCGTGCACCCATCATTGCTGGAGCACCGTCGTTACAGATACCACAAAGATTTCCCCACTCAATGCCATTGCTTTCGAAAAAGGCATTCGCCTTATTGAAAATGGCCTGTGCTGTTGTGGTTGTTTCAAGTTGTTCACAGCATAAGAACTCATCCTTAACATCCTCAGCATTTACATACCGTACGAATGCTATCAGTTGTGCGCAGTGAGTAACATCAGTAGTTTCATCAAGTTGCAGGCTGAACATACTGAAAGCAGAATGTTTAATTTCGTGCACAACTTGTTTTTTGATATCTTCAGACATCTCACATATTCTGTGTTTCACAGTATCATTAGACATGGAAAGCATATTCCGTTTTTGGGCAGTATCATTGCCAACCATAAGTGCCACAATATCTTTGCATGCTGGCAGAATAAGCTCCTCACCTACTGTACACGGTGTTTTGGTACGGGCAAGTCGTAGTGACACAACATAAGAGGCCTCCACAGCTGAGGACGTTTGCTGTCGGAAACTTCCATCAGCATCAAGCTTGGCCTTCTTTGTTGCTTCTTCTCTGCGTTTGAAAAAATCCACGCTTCGATTTTTATGCTCAGGATGTTTCGTTTCAAGATGTCGCTGCAGTTTGCATGGTTCCATTGATTCAGGAGACAAAACTTCACAGCAAATGACACATTGCAGTTTTTCAATACCAGAGGTGTTGATACTGGTAAAACCAAGTTTAATGTAAGACTCGAGATACTTTAGTTTTTTAGCGGTTTTAACAGTACAAGTGGCCATTATTTTCAGGAGAAAGTTTGCACTTGTGTGTCTGCACTTGTGTGTTAATTAATAAAGTACTTGTTCAGCTGTGAATCAAGACCTCTAATGTTGTCTCAGTACAAGGGCCAGCCATAGGAAAAATGGTGCCCTGGGCAAACTTCTATTTGGTGCCCTTTCTTTGGAGGTGGAGCAGCGTGGGAGGTGGAGTGGAGTTGGGGGTGGAGCAGCGCTGGAGGTGGAGTGGAGCTGGGGGTGGAGTTGGGCTGGAGGTGGAGCTGGGCTGGAGGTGGAGTGGAGTTCAGGGTGGAGCAGCGCTGGAGGTGGAGTGGAGCTAGGGGTGGAGCAGTGCTGGAGGTGGAGTGGAGCTGGGGGTGGAGCAGAGCTGGAGTCGCTTGGGGCTCTGAGGTCGGCACATGGTGATGATGGTGGCTCACTAACAAGCGCCTGGCTGGGTTCACAGCAGGTGGTGGGGCTTGGGGCTGACAACCCTGTGTGTGGCAGGGCGGGGGGTTAAGAACCTTGTGCCTGGCGGAGCTCCCAGCTGATAACCCTCAGCGTGGTCAGACTCCGCCTGACAACCCCAGTACAGGGGTCGGGACTCATGGGGGTCCTGGATGCCCCAGCTCAAGGCTCACAGCCCCTCTCCTGGTTGGGGTCACGACCCTGTGTGGTGGTCGGACTCGGGGATCGCAGCCCCGCACCTGCCCAGAGCTCGCAGCCCCGCTCCTGGCCATGGTTGGGGTCTGGGATCGCAGCCCCGTGGGGGGTCGGAGTTGGGGCTCGTAGCACCGTGTGGGGGTCAGAATCGGGGTTCCCAGCCCCGCGCTTGATTGGAGCTCATGGCCAGGGTTGGGGTCAGGACTCGTAGCCCCGCACAGTGGTCAGGGTTCACAGCCACGCTTCCCTGTCGGGGTCATGGCTCACAGCCGCGTGCCGGGATCGGGGCTCACAGCCTGGGATCAGGGCTTGCAGCCGTGTGCCGGAGTCGGGGCTCGCAGTCCGGCGCAGGGGTCAGGGTCGGGGCTCACAGCCCGGCACCGGGGTCAGGGCTCGCAGCCTCTACATGCCAAGGTCAGAGCTCAAAGCCAGGTGAAGGGGTTGGGGTCGGGGCTCACAGCCCAGGGTCAGTGCTCACAGCCCGGCACCAGGGTCGGGGCTCACAGCCACGTTCCCGGGTCAGGGCTCGTAGCCCCGCAGCTCCACACAGGGGTTGGGGCTTGCAGCCATGCATTGCAGTCAGGGCTCACAGCCCCATGCAGGGGTCAGGGTCGGGGCTCACAGCCCGGCGCAGGGGTCGGAGCTCACAACTTGCAGCCACAAGCTGGGGTCAGGGCTCGCGACCCCCCACATAACCAGGTTGCGACCCCCCGAGGGGTCGCGACCCCAGTTTGAGAACCGATGGGCTAAAGCAACAATTTAATTGGTGGGTGAGGGGACATACATGGAATCATTACTGGAAAAGGGATTTATGGACAACAGGAAACACAGGGTTGGGTGTATGAAATTTGGGGTACAGTTGGGTACTAAGCAACTGATAAGCCAGAATGTAAAATTGCAGCAGCAAATCAATGAACTACTAGCACAGCAGCTGTTTGCAATTGCAACAGGGTGGAAAAGGGCAGCAGAGGTAAACCTGCAGTTAACTCAATAGACAGGAGAGCTTGTGACATGGGTGAGGGATGGCTTCAGAAGGCTAACCTGGGGGGAGGTGAAGCTAGCCCATATTTATCCACATTTGCAAAGACATACCTTTCTGCCTGGAAAATAACATCTCCAACCTGTGGGGTTAGCACCTGTGTAATAGTTACCGTGGTGCCTTGGAACGGGATGGCAACTAAGGTGGCCGCCCCATGAGCCCTATGGGAATACTGAGAAAGGGAGGAGCTTGCTGGGAACCACTGGGTGATATATGGGGAGGATGAAATGGTGTAAATTGGACAATAATTCAGTTAAGTAATTGTTTGTCCAGAAAAAATGTTTGGATGTGCCCCTCCCCGATGGCCATGGAGGAGCAGACTCAATGGCCTGTTGCCAGCGGTGGATGATTGGGCGTGATGTACATGGGTTATGGGGTGTTCTGCTGGGAATGAACACAATTCTGCAACATAACACTTGGGAGTCTAAGTGCACCTGCATCTAGCACAATTACACATAAGTCCCATCAGGACTTTGGTGCACAAATGGATCTGTGGAACTCATTGCTGTGAACAATCAAACCAGTACATACTACCCAATTCCATACCAAGTTGTCAAGCTGGTTTGAACAATACCCCACTACATCGCATTGTCTGCACTTCGTCTGCATGACAGGAACCAGGGGAGAATCATAGAATATCAGGGTTGGAAGGGACCTCAGGAGGTCATCTAGTCCAACCCCCTGCTCAAAGGGGGACCAATCCCCAGACAGATTTTTGCCCCAGATCCCTAAATGGCCCCCTTAACGATTGAACTCACAACCCTGAGTTTAGCAGGCTAATTCTCAAACCACTGAGCTATCCCTCCCCCCGAGAGGGTGAAGGGAAAGCCCTCTAACAGGTCTGAATAAATGGTCAGCTTTCACAATGGGGAGAGGTAAATAGTGGTGTCCCCAGGGGTCTGTACTGGGACCAGCACTATTCAATATATTCATAAATGATCTGGAAAAGGAGGTAAACAGTGAGGTGGCAAAATTTACAGATGATACAAAACTACTCAAGATATTTAAGTCCAAAGCAGACTGCAAAGAGTTACAAAGGGATCTCACAAAACTGGGTGACTGGGCTATAAAATGGCAGGTGAAAATCAATGTAGATAAATGCAAAGTAATGCACATTGGAAAACATAATCCCAACTATACATATAAAATGATGGGGTCTAAATTGGCTGTTACCCCTCAAGAAAAAGATCTTGGAGTCATTGTGGATAGTTCGCTGAAAACATCCACTCAATGTGCAGCAGCAGTCAAAAAAGCTAACAATGCTGGGAATCATTAAGAAAGGGATAAATAATAAGACAGAAAATATCATATTGCCTCTATATAAATCTATGTTATGCCCACATCTTGAATACTGTGTGCAGATGTGATCGCCCCAGCTCAGAAAAGTTATATTGGAATTGGAAAAGTTACAGAAACGGGCAACAAAAATGATTAGGAGTATGGAGCAGCTTCCATATGAGGAGAGATTAATAAAACTGGGAGTTTTCATCTTAGAAAAGAGATGACTATGGGGGGATATGATACAGGTCTATAAAATCATGGCTGATGTGGAGAAAGTAAAGAAGGAAGTGTTATTTACTCCTTCTCATAACGGAAGAACTAGGGGGTCACCAAATGAAATTAACAGGCAGCGGATTTAAAACAAACAAAAGGAAGTATTTCTTCACACAACGCACAGTCAGCCTGTGAAACTCTATGCCAGAGGATGCTGTGAAGGCCAAGACTATAACAGGGTTCAAAAAAGAACTAGATAAATTCATGGAGGATCGGTCCATCAATGGCTATTAGCCAGGCTGGGCAGGGATGGTGTCCCTACCTCTGTTTGCCAGAAGCTGGGAATGGGCAACAGGGGATGGATCACTTGATGATTACCTGTTCTGTTCTCTGGGGCACCTGGCATTGGCCACTGTCGGTAGGCAGGATACTGGGCTAGATGGACCATTGGTCTGACCCAGTATGGCTGTTCTTATGTTCTTATGTACTCACTTAAAATCTATCTCTTTGTAGTTAATAAACTTGTTTTTTTGTTTTTGACATAATCCAGTGTGTTTAAATTGAAGTGTCTGGGAAACTCCATTTGGGGGAGCAAGTTGTGTGCATATTATTTCTATTAAAGAAATAACAGACTTTATATAACTTGTGTTGTCCAGGAGAGAGCTGCGCACTACAGGGGGGAAATCTAAGACTTGGCGTCACCCTGCAATATAGCCAAGGCTGGTGAGAGCCAGAATATAAGAACAACCCTATTGGGGCAAACATCATAAGTTTGGCCACCATGGAAAGAATTGTATACTGTAACAGAAACAACCAAGAAAAATTCTCAGAGATATGGGATTCTTTTCTAGAAATATCTGAATGATCCTATGAAATCCATGGTCCCCCCTCACCTCACTCTCTTCTCTACCCATTTCCTTCCCTTTCCATCTGGATTCCCCTCTTCTGAATTTTGCTTCTAGTCTTTATCTTTTAAATAATTTTTCTTTAACTAGTCGGATTTTTTTTAAACAAAATTTGTTTGTTTGTAAGTTGTGTAATACAAATAATTGATTCATATTTTAACCATTCATCTTATATGTAATTAAATATTTAAAGTATAGCTAAGATTAGGCAGCAGATGGTTAATATATTAGAAGTTGATGTATTAAGACAAGTTTATGTGTATTTTATAATGTTTGTTTTTCTATATATATTTTAAAAAAATTAATAAAAAAGTAGGAAAAAAAGAAAAAAATATGGCTGCCGACGTGACCTGCAACCGGACTGATGTCATAGAGAAATTGATGACATCACTTCTTTATGACATTTCTAGGCTGGCTCATAGCTGAGGGAACTGATGATTGAACAGCTCCCAGCAAAACAAGTTTTTTGTGGAAGTCAAAAATGCGAATTTCTTAACAGATGGTGTTTGTTCAGCCTGCAGGCCAGCCAGCCTTCCAGGCAACAGATTATGGATTCTACTCAGAAAGGGTATAGTTTAGGTCAGCCAGCAGCAAAATTCCCCCGGAGCGCCTCACCCCAGCAAGGGGGAGGGCTCCTCCAAGGCATCCTGCTCCAACAAGGGAGTGCGCCCCCCCGAACCACCTCACTTCCTCCGGGGAGCGAGCGCTGCCAAGGCATCGTGCTCCGACAAGCAAGTGCACCCCCCCGAAGCACCTCACCCCAGCGGGGCAGTGAGATCCCCCGAAGCGCCTCACCCCAGCGGGGCAGCGAGATCCCCCG